AGATTGTAGGAGATTTAACCCGAAAAACAAATTTTGTTGGAACACAAGAAATTGGGGCTTTAAATGATTGCAAAATACAAAAATTTAAAACTGAGGGGAATATAGAAAATATTCAATTTATTGTTGTTTGGAGTGAAAATATATTTTTTGGGAAGGACGATGTTTTGTATGAGGTTGGAACTAGAGTTGACTAGAAAATATTTTTAATTTTAATTTTTAGAGTCGTTTCAACGTCAAAAACGAAGATTTTGTCCCTAATGGTACAATTACATTGGATATAAACACCGTCGAAAAAACTAAACTTGAGCATGATAGAGAGACTGTCTATTGAAGAAAGTAATCCGTAAGGAAATTGATATTTTGGTAATAGTTAAACCGAGGTTAAAGTTCGGGACGTGACATATGTCATTCGATTCGTCTCGAGAGCAGAGTCGGTGGTACCACTCCCAATTTCAGTAAATGATTCTGGACCGAGTTATAGGTCCCGAAACATTGAAAAACCATAAGGGGAGTAAGGTCGATTTTGGTATAATATAACTCGGTCCATAGTCATTTCCTGAAATTGGGAGTGGTACCACCGACTCTGCTCGTCGAGACGAATTGGACATGCCAGGTCCCAAACTTTTACCTCGGTACACTACACTACAGCCGAAAGAAAAAAAAGGAAACACAAACTTAACTATTACCGATATTTTAGAGAATGTTTTGATTTTTAAATTTTTTTTTGGTTTACAATGGTTTCTGAGTTTTTTTAATTTTCGGGTTTGAAACATGGGTATTTTTGGATAAATTGTGACTTTTAATTTCTTAACAACAAACAAAAATGATGGAAAAGGCATGAGTTTTATTGGAAACACTTTAAAAGTGGATAGAATTGTAATTCCTAAATTTTTTACTTTTCAAGGGTTTTATTTATTTTAAACTTCATTCTGTTATTATTTTATCATAATTTTTGCAATCTCGGAGAAAATGGAAAAAATTTTTACTACAAAGAAAACGACTCTATATCTCGGTCCAATCACGTCGGGTTTCATCGATTTTGGTGTTATTAATGCAGCTCGATGAGTTCTACAATCTTTTGAAAGACTGACTATTTTGTACAATGTGAGACAATGTTCGGGGTCAAATGTCCGAATTCGGGTTTGGGATTCGACTTTTTCAAAATCTGAGCTTGGATTGTAATCAGCATATTTTTCACCATAGAAAAATCCTTTTTACTTATTTTTAAATTTTTTTTCGAAGAAACCCCAATTCTCCGGGATTGCCATAATTTTTATTTAAATTTGTTTATTTTCTAAGAGATTCGTGGTTTTGTTTACTAATAGATCTAAATTCTCCCTTAATCACGTACTTTTTCGATTTGTGATATGCAAAATTTATCCTCTGAATCCTGAGCCAGAAAAGTTTTTAACAATCCCCTATACGGAATCTAAACATTACCATCTCTGTCTTCAAGGGCTTTATTTTTCAAATTTTTTTAAAGTAGTATTTTCATTACTTGATTTAAAATTTTTAGTTTTAAAATATAAATTTAGTTTAGCTTTATTTTTGACAGAATTGAGGTATTAGATTTTAATAGAATTTTTAATTGCCGTATTCCGGTATACTTTTTAAAATTGTGTTGAGTGGTTAAAGAGTTATATTTTGATAAAATTAAATTAATTTAAATTAAAAATCAACTAAATATAATTCTAAAAAAATAAAAATATAAAATCCAATTTATTATCAAATTTTTTGAATTTTTCCATTTGTTGAAATATTATGCCTTCTTTTTCTAGTTAAGTTTTTAAGCCAACGACGTACTCCCTAAAATCAAATTTTATTTTAATAGACGAGAAAATATGTTTTCAGAAATTTAAGAAGTAAAAGGTTCTTTGCAGGGTGACTCGAATAATTACCCTCTTTAATAATTACCCTTTTAAATAATTACCCCCTGTTTTTTCCTAAACATTAAAAAATCATTATCAATTTAATAATAGAACATCTTAAGTATCAATATAAAATTTTGTGAAGATAAGAGAAATTTGTGTAGACTAAGAGAGATGATGGTTTGTGTAGAGATACATGGGAGATTAAGGAGTTTTGGAGATATCGGCATTTCTCATCCCTAGACGGAATATTTTACTTTTTTCCAAAATTTCTAAATCTTTAGAAGACTTTTATTTATATCCTAACAATTTTTTAAAATATAATTTTAAGATTTAAAAACTTAATTTTGTTATTTCAAAAACTAAATCTAAATATTAAAAAAAATTATTTTTTACTTTAATAGCATTGTTTGAAGGCCGTAAACTAGCTAACATTATGGCTAATGAAATTCCTAAAGCTAATAATCCAATTGGTAGGATTGGAAGTGAATTAGTAATTATTGCTTTTAGAGCTGGTGAACGAACAAATTGTTGTTGGGAAAATTTTGTTGAATTTTTGTTTTTGTTGCTAGTATTAAATATTGTAGCTGGTAAAAGTAAATAAAATTTAAAAAAATTCTTTTATCTCGAGCTGTCCATTTTTGTTCAAAAGAGATTTTCTTAGACACATTTAAATGAACCTATGTTTGTTCAGAAATTCCCCAACAATTTTAAAATAGACAATTCCTCCAATTGGAGGTTGAGGTTTTTAGTAATTATTTTGTATAGTATGGACTAGAGATCGGTATTTTCAAAAATTCTGGATCTGATTTAGGTTAGTAACCTTGAAAAGGTTCTTGACCTGGATCCAAAAAAATATCCAGACTGGATCCGAATCCAGACCAATCTCTAGTATCTTAGTATCCACAATTGACTATTAGCTATCTCCAACTATCACAATATAATATAAAGCATATAGCTATTTAATTCCCAAGGCTTTGCAGTAGGCGGTTAGAGTAATTGATAACACATCAGTCCGGTCTACTGAAGATGCTGGTTCGTTCCCAGCCGCCGAATAACCTTTTGCACTGGCTGAAGGAGAGAAATAGCTACTATAGCCCAGCTATGCTTTACTCGAATTTTAATTTATTCAAAAATTTTAATTACTATTATTATTTTCCAATTTATTTTCCTCCACTCTTTCAATTATATCTGAATTTGTTGTTTTATCATCTCTTCTCTTTTTTCTCATTTTTTCATTAAAAGAAATATTTTTATTTTCTATTAAATCTTCATTTTCTTCATCTTCTTCTTGGTCATTAATTTTTTCATCTTTTTGATTTTCTTCAGGCCTCCAAATAAATTCTGGTTTTGGTCTATTTTCACGTCTAATGCCCGGAAAATCTTCATAAACAGCTTCATTTACTTTTTGATTTTCTTCCAAATTTGGAGGGATTTGTAATGCTGATATAGTTGCAGAAATTGGGAATGAATTGTTGTTGATGGGTTGAAAGGAAGAGGAGATTGTTGAATTGTTTAAATTAACATTTTGGGCTGATAAATTGAAAAAAAATTTTTAAATTCAAAAGGGAAAAATATTTTAGAGGTCTAATTAATTCAGGAAATTTTATATATTTTAAAGTACCAGGCGTTTCAAACTGTCCAACTAGAAAATCTGCGAACGGTGGTGAAAATGTAAATAAATGTTGTTGGGGAGAAGGAAAACTGTCCAAATCTTGTGAAATCTGGATTAAAAAATTATATTTCCTTTTTGTATGGGTAAAAATAGGAAATTTATATTTTTAATTACGTTCGTTTTATCTTCTTCAATTTCGAGAGAAGTATTTGTTGTTGGAAATGAATGTCTGAAATTAAATAATTCACTAGGAGGTGCCATTTGCATTGTTGATTCTCCTTCTTCCTCTAACACTTCAGTTGTTGTTGTCTCTTCTGTTGTTGATGAGGATGAAGGTCTGAATTTTAAGAAGTTTTTTGTTAAGATCATTGGGTCTAATAAGGGAATGAGAGAAAGGGAAATTCAAATAATTTACATTCTAGATGAGCTAGTGATGGGCCTACGTGATGTACGTGTACGTTGCTGTGTTGGTGAGGATATGGAAGGAGTAGAGACAGTGTTTTGCCAATCTGGAGCTACTGGCCAAACTGTTGGAACAATTGGACCTAGAAAATAAATAATAGTTGTGAGACTCTCCTACATATATTTATCCGCCCAAAACACTCGCTCTCTAAGAATATCCCCCTCTTAATTCCAAAAAACCAACCAATTCCAAAAGGGTCCTGTTCTAACGTTGCTTCAGGCTCTAACAATTCTCTAGACAAAATTTTTGTATCAAGGAAGAAAATTTCCTCGTCATGTCCTGCACTCATACGTACAGAAACGTTGCCGGCTAATAATTGTAATTGAGGCTGACCTCCCAGCATTTCAACAAAATGTCTTAGAGCAGTTAATGTTGCCTTTGAATTTTAATTTATTTTGAAAATATTTTAACAATAGCTAAGCTTGTAATTATTTTCAAAATAAATTACAGTAGTTCGATTAGCCCGAGCCAATTTTAATTGTGAATTTCTTGCATCCGCCAAAACTGCTGCTGATGAATTATTTTGATTTCCATCTCTACTTAATGCCAAATGTAATTGTCTAGAAAGCAATTCTGCCAAGTCTATTATATTGTTACTTTCATTGTTATCATTGTTAGGAGATGAAATCTGTGCACCGTTAACTCTTAATAATGATGGGGGAGAGGATGAAGAACGGTTGACTAAAAGCCTAAATTTCAAATTAAATTCTGGAAAGCGAAAGGAAAAATGGGAAATTTAAAAGATGATCTAATAGCTGAGGATTTTAAAAATCGTAGGGCGAAGCAGCAAAAAGACAAAAAATTCCAAAAAATGATGGCCTTTGTTATGTCTGTTGATATTTAACAAATATGTATACGGATGCCCTGCTCGGGACAGGATCCTGCCTCTCAATACCAACTCTTCTTTGATTTGCGGAATCCCGCTAAAAATAAAATTCGGCAAACATAATTTTGCCAACCACATGAATATCTATATAATTTTAACTTATTTTGTGGTAATCATGTTTTAAGTTCCGCTAACTCCCCACAAATTCTAAATCTTATTCAATAAATGTCACCTAGACAATCTTTTAACATCTACAGTAATACTATCAGCAAAAACATCAACTGTCAAGGCTTCTTGATAACAATTAATTCTCAACATTTCACTTCCAGCCAATGCACGAACTTCAAAGGGGGATTGTAAAGAATATATATCAACACGCCATCCACGCCAATGAATTGTTAATGTGTGGTGGGGTGAAGGAATTTCGATTAATGCATCGCGAAATTGGAGAGCTGTCTGAAAGTTTAAAAATTAATTAAAATTTTTCTTTCAAGTATAATTTACCTCAGCACCGATTAGACGAATTTGGAGCCTAAATTTGTTATTAATTTTTTTAGCCTTTGGCTAACGTACACAAAATTCTGCATGTTTCGGTATCATTTGAATTATTAGGATATCTGAATCACCGTATATTTCTTTATACATAGAAGCTTTTTCAATTTTTAAGAGTTGTAAGTTGTTCTCTAATTAACGGAAAGACATTTCCTTGATAAGTTTGATCCGATTCAAGCTCACTATCTGGTTTGTGAAAATCGTTTTAGTGAAAATGTTTCAGGATATTACTTAAGATCCCCCGATACCCTAGATATCCATTCAAATCACCTAATATCGCCGATCTTCCTCCTAATCATTCCCGATTCTCAATATCCTTTATCAAACCAAATCCCGCTTAATCCTATTATTTTTTAAATTCCTCCAAATCTCACAATATCCCCTTTAATCATTCCTAATTTCGCAGCAGGTAAAAATTTAAGTGTTAAAAATTTTTAAAAAATTAAAAATCACGGAGAAATCTATTCAACCCCTGTCAATAATTCGATTTTCACCAAGGAAATCGATGAATTCAAAATTCAAAATTATTCGAGATTATACGATCAAATATTCTATTTGTCCGATTTTCTACCCTTAATTCAGCAAACAATTAATATTTAATTATTATAAAATAAAATCTTTTTGTTTAAAATTACTTGTGTTAAGAAAATTTTTTGAGTTTAAGTTATTATTTGCGGAATTTTGTGTTAATAACCATGAAAGGAAAAAAATTACTGATATGTAGGTGAATCGGCTACAATACTTAATTCTCTTTCTGTAATACCATTTATTGGAGCTGGTGCAGAAAGTATGCTTAGTTCTTCAGGTTGATTAGGTCTTTGCCAATCGAGGCTAATTAAGCCGATTTTTCGTGCGTCGAAAGCTTAAAAAATATTTTAATAAAATAAAAATTTTTAAGAAAGAAAAAAGGATTTAAGGGACTGTTCGGTATTAATGCGGTATTTTATCTATCCAATTTTTGCTACGATTTTTACTGCACGAACTATAGATATTGAAGGAGTAAGAAACGAAGGATTTTTCTTTTTCCTATGGGAAAATTTTCCTTGAAAGTTTATAATTTCAAACTGCGAACTTTTCTATGTATATCCACCCTTCCAATTTTATGAATACTGAATAAAAAATCCAAAAATTTTAGCTTACTGCGTCAAAATGTTTAACCTTTTAAGTTTTTTTGAGGGTATTTCGCGACTTATTCTCACAAAAAAGTTCGTCTAAACATGCTGAAACTAGTAATTAACTTCACTTATATTTAATTTAAAATTTTACAAATTAATTAATTAATTTTTAATAATTTTTAAAATTTAATAATTGATTAATTAATTTTACTTAATTAGTCAATAAGCTTCCTTCTTAAGGATTGCCATAGCTGACTGTCAGTAATAAGAAAATCAATTTTAGATTTTATTTTATAAAAATTTACTAAAAATAAATTTAAATTTAGCTATAATTATTTTTTAAAATGATTTATTTAAATGTTTTAACTTTTATTTTGTTATTTTCTAAATGTTTTGGAAGTGATATTGATGATGATTATATTAGAAATATTCAAAATATTCAAGACCAACCAATGTATATATCCCACATTATCCTTATACAGAATTTACAACAATTCCAAGTCAAGGTGAATCTTCCTCAATGCCTCCTCAAAATATGTACAACAAAGATTATCAAACCCAAACCTCGACTCATCAACAACCACCCCCACCCCATCCTTATACACAATTTCCAACAATTCCAAGTCAAGGTGAATCTTCTTCAATGCCTAATTTACAAAACAATCCAAATGAAATAGAAAACGAAAATCAAAAATACCTTTTGGTAACACAAGAAATGATAGATCAAAGAAAGGAAGGTCAGTTTAAAAAGGGACGCATTAATTTGATTATTAATTCGGTGCAGGATTCGGACACTAAAAATTAAGCTGGTTTCAATAGAGAGAGCATTTAAGCGTCGAAAGCAAAGATTTTTGAAATTTCAGAAGACAGAAAAGCCAAAAATTCTTTTATTAAAAATATCCAAGAAAAGTTAGAAAATCCCAAATGTGTATAAGCATTTGACTGAGTTGGACTCAGGATTTTTCGATATTTTTTTTTTCAGTTACTACGATTTTTAGAGATTTTTGTTTCAAAAAAGCTCTGTTTTTTGAAATAAAAAAAACATATTCTAATATTAAAATAAACTAAAACGAGGCACTGAAGCTTTAAAAATTTTAACAATTATTTTAAAAAACGTCTATTTAGAGAAAGGAAAATATAAAGTGCTAGAATATCAGCAAGTGGAAGAAAAAAATATGACCGACGAAATTAATTTGGATTTTGGACTTGATATGAATCAAATTGTTGACAAAGGATTTTCATTAAATTCTGATAAATTTACAGGTTCTGAGCAGGGTGAATGTTTCCAAGCCACTAAAATATGGCGAAATTTTAAAAGCTTAAAAATTAATTAAAAGCTCAAATTTTCACTAGTTTTAACTGAACTACGAATTTTGGATGGCCAAAGCCACCTCCTTAGCACTTCCTTCCACTTCCACTTCCTTCCACTTCCAAAGCCACTTTCACTCCACTTCCACTCCACTACCACTTCACTTCCACATCACTTCCACTTCCTTCCACTTCCACTTCACTTCCACATCACTTCCACTTCACTTCCACTCCAATTCCACTTCACTTCCACTTCACTTCCACTCCACTCCACTTCCACTCCACTTCCACTCCACTTCACTTCCACTCCACTTCCACTCCACTTCCACTTCACTACCACATCACTTCCACTTCACTTCCAATCCACTTCCACTTCACTTCCACTCCACTTCCACTCCACTTCCACTCCACTTCCACTCCACTTTCACTTCACTTCACTCCACTTCCACTCCACTTCCACTCCACTTCCACTCCACTTCCACTCCACTTCCACTTCACTCCACTTCCACTCCACTTCCACTTCCACTCCACTTCCACTTCCACTTCCACTTCCACTTCACTTCACTCCACTTCCACTTCCACTCCACTTCCACTCCACTTCCACTCCACTTCCACTCCACTTCCACTTCCACTTCCACTTCCACTTCACTTCACTTCACTTCACTCCACTTCCACTCCACTTCCACTTCCACTCCACTTCCACTCCACTTCCACTCCACTTCACTTCCACTCCACTTCCACTCCACTTCCACTTCACTTCCACTCCACTTTCACTTCACTTCACTCCACTTCCACTCCACTTCCACTCCACTTCCACTCCACTTCCACTCCACTTCCACTTCACTCCACTTCCACTCCACTTCCACTTCCACTCCACTTCCACTCCACTTCCACTTCCACTTCCACTTTCACTTCACTTCACTCCACTTCCACTCCACTTCCACTCCACTTCCACTCCACTTCCACTCCACTTCCACTCCACTTCCACTTCACTCCACTTCCACTCCACTTCCACTTCCACTCCACTTCCACTTCCACTTCCACTTCCACTTCCACTTCCACTTCACTTCACTTCCACTCCACTTCCACTCCACTTCCACTTCACTACCACATCACTTCCACTTCACTTCCAATCCACTTCCACTTCACTTCCACTCCACTTTCACTTCACTTCACTCCACTTCCACTCCACTTCCACTCCACTTCCACTCCACTTCCACTCCACTTTCACTTCACTTCACTCCACTTCCACTCCACTTCCACTCCACTTCCACTCCACTTCCACTTCACTCCACTTCCACTCCACTTCCACTTCCACTCCACTTCCACTTCCACTTCCACTTCCACTTCCACTTCCACTCCACTTCACTTCCACTCCACTTCCACTCCACTTCCACTTCACTACCACATCACTTCCACTTCACTTCCAATCCACTTCCACTTCACTTCCACTCCACTTCCACTCCACTTCCACTCCACTTCCACTCCACTTTCACTTCACTTCACTCCACTTCCACTCCACTTCCACTCCACTTCCACTCCACTCCACTTCCACTCCACTTCCACTTCACTCCACTTCCACTCCACTTCCACTTCACTTCACTTCACTTCACTCCACTTCCACTCCACTTCCACTTCCACTCCACTTCCACTCCACTTCCACTCCACTTCACTTCCACTCCACTTCCACTCCACTTCCACTTCACTTCCACTCCACTTTCACTTCACTTCACTCCACTTCCACTCCACTTCCACTCCACTTCCACTCCACTTCCACTCCACTTCCACTTCACTCCACTTCCACTCCACTTCCACTTCCACTCCACTTCCACTTCCACTTCCACTTCCACTCCACTTCCACTCCACTTCCACTCCACTTCCACTTCCACTTCCACTTCCACTTCACTTCACTTCACTTCACTCCACTTCCACTCCACTTCCACTTCCACTCCACTTCCACTCCACTTCCACTCCACTTCACTTCCACTCCACTTCCACTCCACTTCCACTTCACTTCCACTCCACTTTCACTTCACTTCACTCCACTTCCACTCCACTTCCACTCCACTTCCACTCCACTTCCACTTCACTCCACTTCCACTTCACTCCACTTCCACTCCACTTCCACTTCCACTCCACTTCCACTTCCACTTCCACTTCCACTTCCACTTCCACTTCACTTCACTCCACTTCCACTTCCACTCCACTTCCACTCCACTTCCACTCCACTTCCACTCCACTTCCACTCCACTTCCACTTCCACTTCCACTTCCACTTCCACTTCCACTTCACTTCACTTCACTCCACTTCCACTCCACTTCCACTTCCACTCCACTTCCACTCCACTTCCACTTCACTTCACTTCACTCCACTTCCACTCCACTTCCACTCCACTTTCACTCCACTTCCACTCCACTTCCACTCCACTTCCCCTTCCACTTCCACTTCCACTTCCACTTCCACTTCCACTTCCACTTCACTTCACTTCACTTCACTTCACTTCACTTCCACTCCACTTTCACTTCACTTCACTCCACTTCCACTCCACTTCCACTCCACTTCCACTCCACTTCCACTCCACTTCCACTTCACTCCACTTCCACTCCACTTCC